CAGATTAAGATAAAAACCACATCGAGAACTATAAAAATATATATATATTATAAAATGTAAGTAATAGTTTTACTTAATTTTCAGTTCTTTATTCCTTTAAAACAGTGTTTATCAAGGGATAAAAATAGATTTCTTGAGAAGAAAAATTTTTTAGGTACGAAAAACTATGAGAAATAACATCAGCCAGAATATGTTTAACGATATCAGGCGAAAAATAATGGAATTATTTGGAATAAATAATAATAAGTATAAAATATATTATTCTTTTAAATTTTGTTAGGAGGCGATTGGAAAAAAATATTGACTAAAAAAAATTAATAAGAGTCTTTTAGGGGAAATTTTTAAGAGAAGATTAATAAAACCTGCTCTAAAAACGGGAAAACATGTAGTTTCTATTGTTCTAAACACAGGATTATCCTAGAAGTAATATTGATACTAAAAATCGATTTATTTTTAATTACTTATCCAAGTAAGAAGTGCAGACTCTCCTTTTTTAATTATTGAGAAATGTGTGTAAAAAACTGTTTGCGTTTTCCAAAGATCAGATGAATTCTCTAAGATCTTCCGAAGCTCACTATAATTTATTCCACCATTTAGAAATATTTAGATTCTTTTAAAACTATTCCTCTACATTAGTCTAAATTTTTTCAGATATTTATATTTTAAAGCATTTAACTTAACTTGAAAACAATAAATTAGATTTTTATTTCATGCTTAAATAAAGCGATGGAATCTAATTTAGTATAGGCCTAATGAAAATGTTAAAATTGTCATAAATTATCTTTTATCTCGTTTCTCTCAAACGACTTTATAAGAGAAAGAAGATTTATATATCGATTTAGAGAGAACAATCACTCTATTACAATTAATAAAGGTTCTAAACGATCTTTTGTTGCCTTAGAACCATCATAAAACTCGTTACATTTTCCATATTTGTGAATATATTGAAAAATAATTGTCTTCTTTTCTAAAATAAGATTATTTCATGATATATTATTTTAAAATAAATCATTTGTTATATTAAATCAGTTTTATAGTTCAATTAACAAAAGATTTCGAATCCCTATTTCGCTTTTAAAATCAGTTTATATTTTAATTGTTAATAATATATATGTGTATTGTACAGTACAGGGCGAACCAAAAGTCAATTAACCGTGTTATCTGTTCAGTACATTCTAAGTATACTTGTAAGTGCAATTCCTAAAGAGAATTTATTAAATTAAACCTGACTGCTGGAAATAGTTTAAGGATATTTCAACATTAGTAAATTGACACGAGTTTATTTAATTATAAAATCATTTAGTAATATAAATCTACAAAAGAAAATATAATTAAATATTTTAGTACAAATAACTTAATTCTGGCCCAACGAAATCAAACGTCTTAGATTTGAAAAAGTAGCGAAGATTCGAAGGAGACTCGACAACAAAAAAAAAAAAAATATCTGACATGGAGATCATGAATGTAATTTACTATATAAATAAAAGTCTTATCCCTCGTAATCAATATCATAACACTCGATACGAGTGACGTCGGTACCCGAAATTACAAAAAAACATCTGGCTCGCTCTCTTTGATAATACATACGACTTTCTAGTCTACGTGTTAACATACACTCGTACCACCAACCTTTCCAGAATAGCTCGATTGTTGTTAATATTAATATAATCGATCAAAAAATTGACTAAAGTAATTAAAGTATTATCTTCATTTTGAAAAACTTACAATTGATTTATGTATTTTATTGTTAACATTACTAACACGAGGAAGTAGAAAATACTGTTATGTTTATAGTTAAAATCAGACGGATAATATATCTAAAGTTTTCAGTTAGTGTTATTCTCTAGAGAAGGGGCTAGAGTTTTCTTTTTGTTCCATAGGTCCTTTTGGTATGGAACAAATAACAAGCATAAACACAATATGTCTCTGGTAAGCATGTGTAGACTTCTCCTCGAAAATATTGAAAACTGAAGAAAATACTCAGATGTTAATGTAACTTTTTCCAATACAAATTCATGGACACCTTGATATCTATTCAAGAATTCCCAAGGGGTCTATGCGCTCCAAGTTAAGAACCCTTGAAGGATCTATTTGAATCTACATTCAGTTATAAGGGCGAATTTTGAGAGAATTGAAAAATTCGGATATCAAACAACTAAAACACTTCATAATTAAAGCACTTCATAAGAAAAGATCCTCTCTACAAAAGCTATCCGATACTTGGCATTGCTCTTTGAAGTAGCTCACTCAAGGATTAATTTATGATCAGGAAACAAATCTCCCTTTTGGAGCATAATAAGAATATTTGAAATATCATGAATTTCATTAAAACTTTCACAAAATACGAAAAATTATTGTGAATATTATGAAATCAGAAAATGTTTATTAAACGTATACACGTGAAAGAAAAAAAATGTCTTTTTTTTAAATATAAATTCTATGAAAAACATCTCCAAGTTATTTTAAGTGAAATCCAATTTTCGAATTCACTATCGTCTAATGAAAATGAATTTTTGTGGCTGTGGTGAAAGTTTTTGGCTTATCGACCCATAATGGTTATTCTTATGACGTATTAAATGGAGAAGACTGGTTTAATTTTTTTGTTTTTTTCAAAAATCGATCCGCATCAATGGAGAAACTAAACGGAATAGGAATAACTATAAAATGGCACCGATGGTAAATTATGCGAATTAATGCTTTGCTTCTAGTGTTTGGATCCTTTATAGAGTGTTTTGCTCTTTCACGGCTTATAAATCACGAGATATATAGATCAGCCTGGCGAAGTTACAATCCCTAAAATCTGCCGGGATTTGTCCAAATTGCGAAGATTGTCCGGAGTTTATTTGGAAAAGGGCAAAAAAGACCTTCCTCTTGATAAATTTCCGGTTGCAAATTCGTGGAGAAATGGCAGAATGGAGAGAAGTTTACCTGAAGACGGTTGAGTGGACGAGTTGGAACGAAACCAGTGAAGAGCGAAGAAGCTGTCTGTGGAGCGGAAACAGGAAGCGAAACAAAAGGCGAATTGCGAGAATTACCTTGCAGCCAGTCAGTGGATCAGCGACACATGTTAAGGCCATAAATATCAGGGGTAGCAGTGACAGTAGAGCCTGTAAGAATCCGAGTATGCGAGTTGTGATTGATGCTGCTAGTCTTCTATCCGTAGTCCTGAGGTTAGAACCGGGCAAGTGGCCAACAGTAGACCATTTGTGCAAGCTGTTACAGCCAATCCACTACGTCCAGTTCTGGCGTTATGATTCACGGGTGCCTGGTCCCTCCGACAGCCCATCAAATCACCATCAGACGTAGACTGAGCCACCAACACGGTGACAGACCATCGCCAATCAAATTCGTCTATTGACGGAACAATATGTCCGGGAAGGAAGAAACGCTTCCCTCTGACTCAATATTGACTGAGTACGAGATTATTTCTGCCTGTTAAATCTAGCTGCCACCGTGATTAAACAGATCATTTACTTTGAGCGGGGAGATGGTAAAGAGGACCAAGTGCCTTCTGACATCACTGACCGCCTGGTTGTGGCATTTTATAATGAACGCACAGACAACATGGAAATCTTTTTTCCGTCCGCTACTCCATTCGATTACATCCGTACCGATATCCATTAGTGTTTGTGATAGATCTTATTCTATCTGTAGGGAGCACCGGGCTGCGGTGATTGATTGACTCCTAGGTATCCCCATTTCTTGGCCGTCTTCGATGCAACCCAACCGTTTTCCGGATTTTTGTCAATCATCGGAAAAACGCAATCTAGCAGAAAGAAGATCCGTCTCGCCCGATTAACTAGCCACAAAAATACCCAATTTCGTGTCTTCTGGTTAAACCCTCCCCGACGCCATTACTTACGGGGTCAGCAACCAAGGCGTCGGTTTTGCGGCCTCTCACCTTCGAACTCGGACTCGGTCTTCAAAGAGATGACACGTCGAGAATAGATTCTCACCAGACCCTTTCAATAACTTTGCACGTTGAGGAGATGTCCTTTGTGACCCGGCCGACGAGTGACTAGAACCTCATTCACTACTACAACCAGCTTTCACTCTGTGTTATTACGCACCACGAGAATTTTAATCTCACGCGCTTGCCATTCAAAAGCGATTCATTCTACATCCGATATTGAATTTTACATCAAATCTTTTCTTCGTCGTCAAACATTTGCCAGTCAAACACATATTTTTTCTTTTTTTCCTCGTGCATCCAGACAAATTTATTCCCGTGAAACGTTCGAAAAATGTGTCGATAGTTAAATTAAATATAGGAATTTAAACTTTTTGAGCAGTTGCAACGGGTAGATTTAAGCGCAGACGGAATTCGAGCGGCAGGAAAATCAAACCTGGAAATTCGGAACAACACGAGTTTGTACGGAAGAAATCCGAGCTCAGCATCCACAACTGACACCTGGCTGCAGGGATTAGTTAAAAGGATCTCGCCGGCGACAGGGATTTGGTCAGAAGAAATATGACCAATAACCGGGATGGGTGACCACTAAGCCACGCGCCTGGTTTCTGACGGACCTTGTCAGAGGCAAAGCTTTCTTAATGCCTGCCGATCCACTATCTAAACACATTATCAGTAGGTCAGGCCGTGTCCGCCTTTAATGCTTTCTATTTCCTTTTTGCAAAGGCGTCCAAATCGACTCCGGTCTTATCTTAACCCGGCTCCGAGTTATCTGTTCCGGGATTCTTCCCTTTAACTGCCCGTGGCACTAATCAAATAAACAGGTTATAGGCAACCGGTGTGATTTATGCGCGCCCATCCACGTCCCGAAATCGCTTGATCCCCGCGCTCGTCTGCGGGGGGTTGGCTAAATCAATTGGCCCGACGCGTGACGTGAGCGCTATAAGGCGTTCGTTGGTCACCTGTTGATGCCGCGCACCGACCGGCGAACGCCTCCGCGTGCGTCGCGTGACCCATTCTCTATTCCCCCAGTGTTTAAAAACGGCGGTTATAATTTAAGAAAGGATCGTTGGCAAAGAACAACTCCTACCTTCCAAACGTACGGCGAAGGAGGCGAAGACTCTCTTAACTGTGCGGGGATGGGTCCGAAGCGAGTCCCCTTTTTCAGGTTAATTTTGGTCCAGAGGGTGACCTGGCCGGGCAGAAGACCCGGTCTCAGTTCCAGTTCACTCGGCAAGAGGTCGGTGGGACCGAGGCACGCCATGCCGTCTTCCCCGGGGGTCGAATCGAAGTCCGAGTCTGGCGTCACCAACGGACTGTCCACGTTGAGGACTTCATCTCCGTCACCTGCAAGAGGTCTTAGGCTCATGAAAATGGACGACATTTCATACGCGTTATTTTATAAAATCTAATAAAACTAAACTCGATTGGGGCTCGCTACAAAATCTCTAAAATTCTTCCGCTTTTTCCTATCAAAATTAAACTGCATCCGTTCCAAACTAATACTACTTACTTGTATCTAACGCATTATTATATTTTCCTTCTTAATCGTACTATTCATAATTACACTCAATAGTTATTAATAACTCTCAAATTGTGCTGCATTTCTACGATTGTTTAATTGTATTAAACTAGAGAATGAGCTGTGATTTTTCGCCTCAAACCCACCTCCTCATAAATAACACTACATTGTAAACATTTTTAATGTTTCTATGTTCCCTTTCTTCTTTTTTCAATCTCTCCGACTCGAGTAAATTGTGTGTAAACTTAAAAAAATGCCTTTGTGTTAATTAGATATTTGCCTCCCTTCTACATAGAAAAATAGACAGACATGGTACGCAAGAAATGATGTTTCGGCAATCGGAAAGTATTTTTCCACCGGTAACCAAATTCTAAAGTTCTTTAGAACTGTTGGCTTTTCAATTCATCTTAGCACTTTCCTACGCCGGATGGAAGCTCCCGGTAGCAGGAACCACCTGTTTAACGCGTGATTGGAATTCAAAGAGTGGTGTAGTGTATAAGGTGCGAAGAGACGGTGGATCGGACCCTCGCAACTAAAAGATCTAAAGATATGTGAAAATAAATAAGAATGACCCTTTAATCCGCCTCTATACTGCCAGACGCGCGGGTAAAAGTGAAGAGAAAATGAGGTCTAAGGTAGGAAGCGCCTATCTACCACTAAGAATAAATGTGTAACAGATTCGGGAATTAAACGGCCTAACGGCACAATATGTGTCTGATATGATTCCAGATGGTGTACTACGCTGTGGAGATGGGGACGACGCAGCTGACGCACCCGCAGATAAGCCCGTGGACGAGTTTACTCACAGCGTGTCGCTGATTAAAAAGACGGAAGAGTTAAACAGAAACGACACGAGACCGCCACGGCTTTCGAGTGCTAATTACACATCCCATTACAACCAGCCGCACTCGAGAAACAAAGACGTTTCGTTTACTAATTGGGATGATAACCCTCATTTGAGAAAGAGATATTTCGGTCAATCTCTAGTCGAGTACGTCCATCCCGGTGTCTGTAGATGACCAAAAAGTTTCTTTAGAGGCGTAGAACAAATGCGTCGTCCTTACGCGTAAACGCGTGATCGCCAGCTACTAAGAACGAAGATTGGGGTGCCGAGACGGCGGGGCTCGAAATTTGCCACACCTTTTGTCGATTGCGCGCAAAAGAGGCGTCGTACAATAGACAGATAATAATAATTCCCGAGAGCCTCGGCCCCGCGTTGGTTTTGTTCCAGAGACTGGCAACGGTAATTGGAAACAAGGCGTTGACAATAACCCAGTTAAGCAACTCGCTTAATGACTTCTGCGGAGACTAATTTGCATCGGGAATTGCAGATAACTTGGCAAAAACAATCGATTGTTCCCCGGATAATTCCCCCTCGAATGTAAACGATAGTTGTCGCACTTATTCGACACTCTAAAGATATCTTTCTTACACCTTTCGAACGTAGATACTCCCCTCTCTTCCTCCCTCGCCACCGTTTAAATCAAAGCGAACAACCGGCACAGGAGACATCTGTGTTCTCTAAGACAAAGGGCCGTACTGTCAGAGAACACTCGAGTGCGTCTTTCTGGCAAAGCACCAATTGGCTACGGGTGGAAGAAGGATTGGGAGTGGCAGGTACAGTCTTCGGCTTATTCTACATCTTTCATTTATCGATCCAATCTCTGTTTTTCTCTTCTTAGAAACTTTCTTTCCATTTTCTCGATTCGTTTAATTGCTCATTCGCTTTCTAACACTTATTTATTTTCTTCAAAATAACCAATCTCCAATTTTGTTTATGGACATTCCCAGTAAGAGAGAGACTTCTTTTTCGATTAAAAATTGCTTCCGACTTACAAAAACAAGAATACAAAACAAGTAAATAGACATAAAATATTAAAATATTCATTTGAAAGAACGAAACATTCAAAAAAAACTAATACTTAACGCGTTTGATTTGTGACGAAAACTACTTTATGAATTTGCAGCGAGAAATAATGCGGACAGACTGATTCGTAGCACACATAGATACCATTATCTGTATTTATTTAAGATTTTTATTCTTCTTATCGTTTGGTTTCTGTGTTAAATCATAACATACCAATGTGTATATTAATAATTAGAATATTTATTAAAATAAGTCTCCGAGGAATAAATAAAACACGGGACTTTCAATTGAGGATTATTTAAATAGCTAGAGATTGTCACCCAGTATTTATTTTATACACAATACTATTTTTTTCATCGTCGGCTTCAGATTTATAGTTTTGGCTATCAAATCCGGTTCGGATTATTTAACTCATGCCTTCGCCCTTCTTTGCTTGATAAGAGGAGTGACACAGACACGTCTATCGACAAGTCACGGGGGGAAACGAATCAGACCTTCTAAATAACGGCATCCGATAATTATTTATTAATTAGGTCAGATTTCTGGATTTTCTCCTCCTCCCCGCGGATTTAAAATTTAATATGTATATTTTTAAAAATAAAACCGGGAGTCACCCTTTTTTCTAAAACGTTCGGTAGTTTAGATCCGGCTCTATCAATATAATGAATTCCCATCAAAAAGTAGAGCACGCAGAGAGAGGCGATAGAGGCATTTGCAAACGCCCCCTGCTCGCGACCTACCCACCCGGCCCGTAGCGTGACACGAAGGAAAGTATTCCTCCTCTCGTGAGCTACTAGTTAATGCACATGTCTTGTATGATATGAACTCGTTAAATTGCTGCGGCGAGCAGCAGCGGCTTCTCTCGCGCAGCACGGCAGCCGCATGATCAATTTTAGACATTCCCCTTCACTCCCGTGACACGTAGAAATTAATATTTCTCCCAGGACTTTATATTTACATTCTATGTGTCTAACAAACAGCTGCGGAGCACGACAATTATGCTGCGCCCTTTACCGGTTCCTAACCGTAATAATTATTTATTCCTACAGATACGATCCATCTAGAAACTCTTCCTTTAATGTTAAAGTTCGAACAACAGAGATTCCTCACCCCTTACCTTTTCTCTTTCTTCCGCTTCTATTTCGAACACTATCTTAAGCCGTACCCAAATTTGTACTTTTGCGCGTGCGACACACTTTAAAAGCCACAAGAGAACGACAGAAGTGTGAAAGATGTGCCAATTTTTGGGTTTATTGTCTCCAACAATATAACCTGTTTGTTAAAGATTGGATTTGAAGAGTCTCTAAGCTACAAATCATGTCATTACACACGAAATATAGAATATAACAATAAATAACACTGGATTTCCTAGAAAGTAATATATCTGAACAATATGAATTTCTATTTTTGTTCGAAAAAGAAATGTGCCAGTTTTCTAGAAATCGAAATGTCCAATCAAATAAATCTCCAGTTTAAATATATAGAAGCTAAATGATTAAAGTAATTGTAATTTTTCTCTTTAAAACGTAAGAAATAATTTATATATAAGTGTAATATATAATAAGAATCTATAATTGGACATATATAACAATCGAAAACGTACAATTATTTACTTACTGGATCAGTAATTATTCTGTATTAGTTACTGGGAAGAAGCCGAATGCCAATAACACAGTTGGCCTTTAGGCCTCTCTCTTAAATTAAACAGATGTTAGTAATTTTAAGGCCAATTTTTTTTTATAAAATAGCCAGAAAACAATGCGATTTTAGAGGCGATAACATTTTTATTTTTTTGATAAATGAAATGCGTTTAATGATATATTTGGAATTGTGCCACAATGTCTATCGGAGTACGATAAAAGAGGCGGAATTAGATTCTCTTAATGGGTTTTATATCTATTTTGTGTCTTAAAGTATGCCACGAGCCAAACATGCCAATCCGTTGTAAGTGGTTCTGCACCGTTGACTGATCACCAATAGGAAATTAGCTCCCGGAAAACGGCAACAAAATATTATAATTGCTCAACAATGATATATGGCCAACTATTCTTTGCCTATCTACCTCCGTCCTTCTACTTACTCGTGTTAAATACATTCTTGTGCCCTTTGCAGAGAACCCCCTTCTCGCAAGAACGAAATTTATGAAAAAAAATAAAGTGGGAGAACTTTAATTTTGCTTTTTTAAAAATCAAAAAAGGTACAAAAAATGACTTAAAAAATAATAATGTTTTAATTTATTTAAATAGGACACATAAGCTCTTCTTTATTATTCTGTATTAATGCCTTATCGAAATGTATAATTATTGTAAAATTTAATTCATTTCTTCTATTAAAATGTTATTATTTTTTTCTTCTATATTTTATATATTCTACTCCAGACAAGTCTCTAATCTTTCTTCAATTCGCAATAGACGGGAAGAGTTCCAACGTCCGAATTTAATAGGGGAAAAACCAATAAACCAGCAAACTGCAACACCAAATTAAGTTTAGACTATTATAAGACCTATAAGGCGCTCTCTAAATCGAAATTTAGACAGAGTCTGTTAATTCTATTCTACAGAAAAGCTTCTAACATTTCCCCAACTTAAGCAATAATAAGCGGAAGAATTCCAGTTTAAGTCCCAGAGTGGTGGAACCTGACGTGTTTGACGTCGTTAATACATTGGGGCGGAAAGGGGTTGTAGGTTTTTCGGGAGTGGATCGAATTTTAAAAAACTAGAGAAACGGACCAATAGACGACGAGGTAACATAAGAGGGTTTAGAGAATTAAACGATAAGAATACGGACGTGGAAGCCGGAAAACGAAGGCCGCCATTCAATTAGTCGTTGCTTAATTAGTCCATTCGATAATCGAAAGGCAATTCTATTTATTCTAGTTTTAATCGGTTCGGGTCCAAGACGGGGTATTGTTCTCGGGCGTCGACGCGAACAACCGCCCAATCCCACTCGACTTTCGCT